CCCCATTTTCTTCCTCCAAACTGTACTGTTTTTCATTTGTGGTCACTGTCTCAGCACTGAAACTTTTCTTAGTGTAAGATGGAGCTTTGGCTTTGAGATTGATGTGGGCAGAATCTAGAGATGAATTCCTGGGGGGCAGTGGGAGAGGCATTTATGTGGCATCATCTTTGACTGGTCCATCGCTGCAGGTAGGTGTAGTAACCACGTGAGTCATTTACAAGTCTGTTTGCAGAGGTGAAAGCCTGACTGAGACTGTGGTGATATTATCCAGTAAGCTCAAAGTACAAGGACAAGGTTTGTGTAGATCCTGGGAGGACATTTATCCATTTTAGGACTTTGTGTAGAGTTTATTTTTGTTTCTTTGTGCAGAGGTGGTTAACAAATGACCTTCCCTTTCAAGTGCACTGCTCTGTAGCGAATTACAAGCAATAAGAACTTTCAAGGTGGGAGAACTCAGGGAGGATACCACCCCTAATTGTTTTTATTGAGGTTTTCTGTGTCTTGCTCTAAATGCTGATAATTCTTCAGAACCCACCTTGCCTGCATCCTCTGCAGCACCTGTCCCAGGACTTTCCTACCTCTCTGTGCAATCAAGACAAAAATCCACCAACTAGGGCAAGATAAACATGTGCCCGAGGTGCCTGTGGCCGTCTCCACTGAGGTCTTGTCCCTTTTTTGGAGTCCTGGGTTAGGATCTCTACATGTCCCATCCTGCCTTCCCCCATAGTTAGACTCCTGTTTCCAGACGAGGTTAGCAGCTGAATGACCTCTGATCACAATCGCAGCCTCTTCAGACATTAAAATCCCTGATGTCACTGTTACGACAGAAGAAAATACCCACGTTTTGTTTCTAGCAGGAGCGTCTCATGGATTCTGCGTGTGCTGGAAGAACCTCTCACTCCCCAAACTGTTATCAGACAAGGCACGTGAAGGGTCTGACACAGCCCAATATCTTGCTGGTACTCTAGGTCCCAAGTCCATCCAGATACAGATGAAAGAAACAGGCATGGGCAACAGGCTTGGGTAGCAGTGTGTCATAGAAATGGGGGATAGGATACCTCTGCTTTTAAGTATCCAAACTTCTTCAGATAACAAGTATTTTTTTTGTGCCAGAGGAGATGTTTGGTTCTGTCCAAGCAGGACACCCTGCCAGGCTGTTTTCTTGGAAACTGGTGAATGACACAAAAGCTGTTTGTTTTGCCTTTTCATTAATGGCTTAGTTAAAGAGAACTCAGCTTCTTGAAAGCTTTGCCTCATCGTCCTCCTCCTGTGTTTTCTTATAGTCATGGAAACAAAGAGGTGTTCTCCTGCTGGGGGATCCAGCTGGCTGTGGATTGGTTTCGAGAGAGGGGGCACACATACATCAAGGTTTTTGTTCCACTCTGGAGGAAGGAGCCCCCTCGACAAGAGAGTCCCATTGCAGGTAGGTCACCATCCTGGGCATCATTTGGCAACCATTAGGTGCAGTTTGGAGACAGGGAGTGTGAAGAGTGCAGTTCTGTCCTGTGAAGATAAGTGAAGTGCAAGTTGTGTATCAGGTTTCCATCACTTAAATTAGTCATTACTTTATTGCCTCACACTCCTGGCTAGCAACTAAATCTGCTTACAAGGCTTTGTTATACTGCTTTGAACCTTCTGCTTTACAAGCACAAATTGCTGCCAGCTGAGTTAAAGGAGTCTGTCAGCTTGCAATGAGTCTGCAGAGCTTTTAAGGCCAGCCAGGAGACAACTACATCGTTACACCCGCTATCCAAAGGTGGCAGCGTGCAAGGTATTCACTATTGAATTAGTATTTCTGTTAGCCTCTTACTCTGATACAGGAGCTGCATGGGTTCCTCTTCCAGGAGAAGGAAATGCACCAGCTGAAGTCTGTGAAGGGTGATGAAGTTCAGTTTGTATGGATATAAATCTGCCAGATTTGTGCCAGCAGTTTGGTGCCTGCAGATGAGGTGGCTGGGGATCCACCTTTCTGCATAGCACAAAAATAGCAGCAAAGGAAACAACTTTATTTAGTTAGTTATTTATTTTATCAGGCATATTTTATCTCTAAGTAAAACTCATATCAGGGCTGATTTGAGCCATCCTGCAGTGCAAAAAGGAACTACAGTGCCTCTGGTGTAGAATTCAAGCCATCCTTTACAGATATAAATCAAAAAAATCGTGTCTCAGATTTTGGGAGTGGATGGTTTTGTAAAAGACCAAATTTTCAAGCTGTCAAATAATCACCAGGTATCAGCGCATCTGAAAATCACAACACTGTAAGTTGCCTAAAGTGCTGAAACTTCTTTAGATTCTTGTATGTTTCTAGCTGTCGTGGTTTAAGCTCAGCCGGTAACTCAGAACCACGCAGCCGCTCGCTCACTCCACCGCTTCTTCCTCCCCCCGCTCCCGGAGGGATGGGGAGGAGAATCGAAGGAATGTAACTCCCACAGGTTGAGATAACAGCACTCCAGTAACTAAGGTATAATACAAACCACTACTGCTACCAGTAATAATGATAAGAGGAATAACAAGGGGAGAGGACACAACCGCTCACCACCCGCCGACCGATACCCAGCCCGACCCGAGCAGCGATCTGGGCCTTCCGGGTAACTCCCCCCAGTTTATATACTGGTCATGACGTGCTGTGGTATGGAATACCCCTTTGGCCAGTTTGGGTCAGGTGTCCTGTGTCTGCTCTGCCCTGGCTTCCCCTCCTCCCTGGCAGAGCATGAGACTGAGAAAGTCCTTGGTCAGAGTAAACATTACTTAGCAACAACTAAAAACATCGGTGTTATCAGCATTGTTCCCAGACTGAAAGTCAAAAACACAGCACTGCACCAGCTACTAAGAAGGAGACAAAAATGACTGCTGTAGCTGAACCCAGGACACTAGCACATGACTGAGAGCTGGTCAGTATTAATTAATTAGATTCTCTTGTTAATTTTTTTCCCCTTCTATTTGTGCCAACCACGCCACCAGATCAGCACATTCTCGAAGAGCTTGAAAAGCAATCGATCCTCGTGTACACCCCGTCCAGGAAGGTGAAAGGCAAGAGGGTAGTTTGCTACGATGATCGCTATATAGTGAAAGTTGCTTATGAGAAAGATGGAGTCATTGTTTCCAATGACAATTACCGGGATCTCCAGAATGAAAACCCTGAGTGGAAATGGTTTATTGAGCAGCGACTACTCATGTACTCTTTTGTCAGTAATAGGTAAGAGACAGCTACTGTTAAACACTCTTGAATTTAAACATTATGGGCCAAGTCAGCTCCGACATCAATGCACCTCCCACCAGTGGCAGAATACACAAGCCTTTTTCTGAAAGGAATTTACCATAACTTTTCTTATCTATCTATCTATCTCATTTATTTAGTTCCTTCTCCCTCAGCTCTGGTCTTAAAGCCCCCTTCAATGAACTTCTCTATTTGAATAGCCGCATTAGTGACCAGCTTTGCTTATTTCCAGTCCAACTGGGATATTAAACTAAGGCTTGGTATCTTTTAATTTCTATTTCCTATAAGAAACAGAATTAAATCTGTGAAAGGAGGCTAGCTGTCTGGCAGTATTTTTAATTCCCTTAAAGGCAGAAGAGCACTTCTTCCTATGCTTTTGTAATCATAACTTTCTAGAAGAAGAGAGATGAGAAGCTGGTCTCTCTGGCCCTTACCCATCCCCACTGGGGAAGGTTTTCACTAAGGTTCATGCACCATGCCTGCAAGGCTGAGCTGTATGCTCCTCGGTCTGTGTGTACTGACCTTGTCCAAGATTTCTAGTAGCAGAGGTGTTCATTAGCCATCAGTTTGGCTGGGGAAATGCACTCGAAGGCATCCATTGTGCATGGATGAGTGCGAGCAGAGAAGCTGTCTTGCACTGTGGCCTTTTCCATGGGTCAGGATGGAGACTTGGCTCTCTTGCCACCAGAATTGGATGGGAGTGCTTGGCACTGGGTTTCAGTTTCCCCGTAACATTGTTCACAGAAATGTAATCACTGAACATCAGCAGAACGTACCTCTCAAAGCTCCAGTCCATTATCTCCAACTACCACCAGGCTTCTTCTCTAGTTACTATTGGGTTACAAATATTTGCACGATATTTTCCTTTGTATTTCATAGGGATTGCTGGACCTTTTCAGAACCCTTTCCTCAGAAAGTCTAGCTTTTCCTCAGAAAGCCCTTTTGAATAGTTTCAGCAAGACCGTCTTGCACACCTTTGAGAACCTCTCTAAATCCACAGCCTGAAGTTGGAGGTTTCAGTCCCATTATGTGGATAACCAAATTCTCCGGGTGCCTCCTTTCCCTCCTTCCTACGACCAACAAAGGGTTTACCCATGGTTGGGTGCACTGCAGATTCATTTTCAAACCAGTCCAGGGATACCAGTTAGGTTTCCTCCTGAAGCATCACATTCACATACTGGCATAGAAGAATTAACAGTTTTATTTGAGCATTTTGCAGGCCTTGTAGTGAGAAGCCTTTACTGAATCCTTGAAAAAGGCTGGGCTTGTTTATCACAAGTGATCAGCTGTAGCTCTGAATTAACTTCTGACTTTTTAATCCTCATTCTCCTACAAGTACTTAGTAAGAGAAAAGCGAGTTTGCTGTGGAAGGGAGCTGACGGTGAGGACTGCAGTGCTGGGACCACAGAAGAGTTTGCTGCTGCTGCTTCAGAGTGAAAGGCTGCTGCCGCAGCTGGGGCTTCTGGCTGGCCAGAGCCGCACCAAGCTGCTGTGCCTTTCCAGTTGTTTTATGTTATCAGGGAAAAACAACAGCTACGTGAAGCTGAAGTATTGATGTCTTGACAGGCAGCAGGGCACAGTGGCTAGGAGTGCTCCTAGCGTGGCTCCTGATGGCCAGGCCACCAAAGGGTCACAAGTTTTTCTGCCCTAAGCTTGCGCCACAAGCTGTGGTGACACCTTAGCTCCTAAAGCTAAAAAGGTATTTTTGTTACCCCTGTGGCTTTTTCCTTTCTCAGGTTTATGCCTCCTGATGACCCGCTAGGCCGGCACGGACCCACTCTTAGTAACTTCCTCAGCAAAAAGCCAGTGCTTCCGGAACCGAAATGGCAGCTTTGCCCCTATGGTGGGTTTCTCCTCATGCTGTGAACCCCTCTTCTTCTTGTCCCTTGCTTCCAAGCAGCACTTTCCTTCACCTAAGGGCCAGTGCCATTACCATATGCTATCCTGCTTTGTGTGGGAGGGACTTGGGTCAGGGCTGCTCGAACATGTGTTGCTTTCTTTCCTTTCCTCCTTAAGTGGCTCCAGCCTCAGCAAAGGCACCAGCTCTGTCTCTTCTGTCCTTGCCTGTCAGACACAGCACCCAAACCAGGCACTGCGGCCGTGCTGATGCCCCAGCCTGCACGTAGTTTTCACTTTGCAGAGTGGACTTGCACTGTGGCACTTACTTACTTACTTACCTCAGTGGGAAACGGCCATCCAAACACTTTCCCTCTCCCCTCCCAACAGCTTTCCAGTAATGTGCAGGTTTCTCAGAGGTAAATCCCTGTACATGACACTTTAAATCAGCCCTTCATAGCAGCAGGTCTCCCAGCCCACTGAGAGCAGCAACTGGAACATAAATGAATTTCAGACACTTCCAAAATAGCAGAAACTTGCTTTCACTGCTGCTTCCCCATGCTATTTCAGCCAGTAATATGTAAATCCGGGGTCAGATGTCCTGAGCCGGAAAACAGCTACTTCCCCTCTGCTGTTTGTGCTCTCCACGCCCCTGTGAATGTGCAGTGCTGGTGAGAAGTGATGAGTGCGTTACACTGATGTGGGTGCTAGCGACAACCTCCTCTTTTGACTTTTTTTTTTATTGTTTCAGGTAAAAAATGCACCTATGGCAATAAATGTAAATTTTACCACCCAGAGAGACCACACCAAGCTCAGCTCTCAGTTGCTGATGAGCTCAGGGCTAAAATAAATGTCCCATTAAGCGTGGGGAAAGAGGAAGAGCTGTACAGGACTGGAGGAGAGCCTGCGCCCTGTGGTGCCTGCACAGAAACCCTGCAAGAAGCTGTCGGCTGCGCAGGGGCTTCCTGCTACCCAGGGTGGTCCCAGGGGAGCCGTCCTGAGCAGCCATCCAGTGCCTGGGCCAGCAGCCCTGGCTCTGACCTGCGTCTGGACCAGCATTTGCTACAGCCAGAGCCTTGGCAAGACCATCCACTCCTGGAGAAGATGTCAGCGCTGTCCATCGGTGACAATAGCTACAGCTACAACTGGTCCATACATACGTGTCAGGACAGAGGGGTGATGGACAGCCCGCACCGGTTCAGTGACCCATACTCGCTCCATCCCCGCCGTAGCTTGGACCACACCAGCTTACCGGGATGCCCTTTCCAGCAGACAGTGCTCCCGCCTGTGCAAGGTGGGACGTGCCCAGACCACAGCTGGCCTCCGGGGTGCTGCAGCACGCATAGGGTCAGTCAGAGGAGCCACTGTGTCGCTGATAGTGCTCAGCACAGACAGGCCCTGGGGACTCAGCACCACGTTTTACCACGGTCCACAGCTCTTCCCTCTGACCTGCCTCACTTATACAGTGAGCATCACCTGCAGCAGCAGCAGCAGCAGCAGCACTGCTTCCCCAGCCGCTCCCCACAGCAGCCCTTTCTCTTAGACACCAGCAATGGACTGGGCTTCTTCCAGAAAGCCCACACATACCTTGATGCCTCTTACAGTGACCACTGGCCCACCCGAGCTGCAAGGCCACCCTCTGCCCAGCAAGCCAGCATACACAGGGAGCTGTGCTCCCTTTTCCCTTACAGCGACGTGAACCACGTCATGGCTTTGTACCCTGATATCAAGGATATTGCTATCTTGACTTTACTGATTCAAAGACACAGAAGCTTGTGAAGCCTCCAGATCAAACCTTTCCTGACAAGCACAAGTCCTGCGGAAAAAACCATGCTACTGTGAGGCTTAACTGGCTGTTATTAAAGGGCTTTTCTGGGACCACAGGTCTAAGCATCAACCAGATATGTCACATGGGGCACCAAGTCAAGACAAAGGCTGTCATTCACTGCAGCGGGATCTCATTTACCTCCCTGTCAGCATTTGAACCTCACTGGTGACTGGGTTTAGGATGGCAGAGATCTTCACTGATGCCTTGAAATGCTAGACATGGTTTAAAAATCCGAAGCTATTGTTCAACTGTTGTGAAAGAACCTTGCTCCATGTGACAGGCTCTCCATAGACCCCCCATGCCTACTTGCTCAGCTATAGGCAAAAAGTAATTATTTGGCCTATTTCACCTAACACAGGGCTGTGCTCTCTGCTAGAAGGCAACTTTGAGTCCATATTGTTGCCTGTATCAGTGAGCTTTCAAAGATAGATACATCTTGTGTTTATAAAGCAATGCAGTGAACACACAGAGCCACTAACAACAGAGGTGTGGGGATACAGCAGAACACTTGAAGGTAGCTGCAGCTACATTTCTCAGGGATCACATACAATATGTGTCAAATCAGGGAAGTGATCTTCAGTGTAAATAAGTCAAGTCTTGATGTGGACTGGGGGCTTGGGGTTGTTAAACCAGCTGTTCTGTTAAAAACAGAAACACAGGTGATGCCAAGGGGAGGGGGAAAGCTCTGTTGTATAGAAGAAAAAGTCCTGTTGTTGACGTAACCCTGAATTACCAAACATGGTCCCATAATGCAACTATACAGCTGATTTATGACTGCGAACAGTTAAACTGTGCTCTGCTGGGACATGTTTGATCCTCAGTAAGCTGTAAAGCTGCTAATCTCTGCATTATTCCACTGAATTCTTCAGGTTATAATTCAAATATTAAGGTTGAAGCTGAAGGGCTTTGGCATTATACCAAAGTTTAAGTATGTCTGTATGACATTTTAAAACTGCTTTAACACATTATAAAGTGGTCACCTAGAACACTTTGTTCTAAATAATGTTGCCTTTTCCCTTTTTATTTTTCCATTACTCTTAGCACTGATCTTCACCAAGTCCCATGTTTAGGTGGGATTTACAAACAACGCTCTGAACCCGTAGTATTTCTGTTAGGTTTTCCTAATTGGTGATGTTGGTCCCAAGCAGGACTTAAACACAGCCTTCACTGACTACGCTGAAGTCTTTTGCTTTCCAAAAAAGTGACCTTTAGTGACATCATCACATGAGCATGATTTGGAAGTGGTGACAGTTTGACCTGTTTGTTTCCCTCTGGAAACCACCAGCAGCTTTTTTTGGGTAGTGTTGTTTAAAGAATCTTCAGGAAGTAAGTACACTGTATCAGTTCGATCTTCTATGGCCACGCGGTTGGCTCCAAGAAATCCTAATTGTGAGTTTTGGGGGTATGAGCTGTCATCACAGAACATACATAACAGTTTTTACCCTATGCCATGAATTTTCCACTAATTACTGTAATACATGTAAATGGATGCCCTGGTTTCAGCTGTAACATTTTTTCTCCTTCCTAGTAGCTGGTGCAGTGCTGTGGGTTTGGCTTTAGCCTGAGAACAACACTGATTGATTGATAACACACTGTTGTTTTAGTTGTTGCCAAGTAGCACTTACCCTGATCAAGGACTTTCTCAGTCTCATGCTCTGCCAATGAGGAGGAACACAAGAAGCCAGGAGGAAGCAGAGGCAGGACACCTGACCCAAACTGGCCAGAGGGGTATTCCATACTACAGCACATCATGCCCAGTGTATAAACTGGGGGGAGTTACCCGAAAGGCCCAGATCTCTGCTTGGGTCAGGCTGGGTATCGGTCAGCGGGTGGTGAGCAATTGTACCATCACCTCCGGGAGCCATGTAGTAGGAATTATTAACAATTACACCTCTTTTCCCCCCTCCCCCCTTAGGGCCAGCCTATGGAGGAGACATTTCCTCACACCCCCACTCCCCCCCAGGCTATTTGCAATGGCATTTGAGAATTTTAAAGATTCTGAATATCCTTTGAGTACCCTTGAAACCAGACGGCTCCTTTTGCTGGGAACCACCATTTTGTTGAATCTGGTTCAGGTCTTGGTTTAAGGTTAAACAACTACCTGAGAATATCACCAAGAGGTCTTCCTTGAGGCTGGACAGGCATGAGTGGCAGGGTGTGTGGGATCCTACGGGCAAGCTCCTAGGCCAGTGGGCCCCTCCAGTGCTTTGGAACCTCACCACTGAACAAGTGCAAAATCCAGAAATGCCAGTAAACCACTTGAACAAGATGTGCTGTCGTCCTGGTTATACCAGAGAGGGACAAATCATGGCAACGTGCTGGGGCTTGGCCTGTGCCTACAGTGCCCTGCTCAACACTGTCCAGAAAAAGATGTCTTTGAATCTGATGGCAAAGCAACAGACAACGCGGCTACTCTGTCCCCACCAATGAGCAGAGCAGCTACTCCAACTCCAACAACAGACACTGCAGCCGTTCCAACCCCACTAGCAGCTACTGCAGCTGAACCAAAGGACCAGTCTATGCCTCTATCAGTTGCCCCTATGCACAAAAGGAAATAGAAATGAGAAGCAACTCGTCTAGTGAAGGAAGATGAAGAAGACTCAATGCCAGAATTAGAGGGGACAACATCAGTAGGAATCAATTCAAGAATCAATTCAAGAAACAAGATTCCTCTCCTCAAGAGAGGAATTCAAGAGACAGAGGAAGAGGCAGAATTTCCCAGTCCCTGTCCTTGACTGAGATGTGGAATATGTGAAAAGATTTCAGCCATCTTCCAACTGAATAGCTTCCAGAATAGCTTATAAGTTTATCCACTGCTTAGTACATGAAGATTAGAAATGACATTATAAAACAAAACTATGGAATAAATGCCCTGTGCAATGCTCTGAAAAATTCTTGAGTTCTACAGGCATTGTTAGTTGTGCTGAAACAGGCCACGCACCACACTTCACACACTGAAGCAACCATTTCATGGATTAAGTGCCTGTATTACGCCTCTGCAAGGCCAGGCTCATTGGCTTCCCTAACAATGTGTACCGGAGCTTTCCCAGCCACTGCTGTACACATACATGCTGCTGTACACATACGTACAGCCACAGAGAAAGTGTGATGCAGAGTGGAAAAATACCTTCCACATACTCCAACAGAGCAAATCCAAAATGACAGCACTCAGAAAATACACACACAGCAAGAGAGCAGGATATAACTGTACTTGTCAACATTTATTTTCATGTCTGGAATGAATGTTACATATTTCAGTGCAAAAGGCATTTAAAATCCATAGGAAAATTGGCGTTCTGCCTTTATCTAGTGCCCTCGGCTTGCTGGAGACGTGCATAAGCTTTTCTCCTTTTCCTTTGACGATACACAGGAATTTGGTGGTTGTTCAAAATTCTCTCCTGATGTTTAATAACTTATTTTTCTTCCATTTCTGTCTTATTTGCGGGGGACTCTCTCAGTAAAACACACAGAATGTGCATTCTGCTGAGAAAGTGTCCGAGAAAATAAATCAGACTTTGGCACTAAACAGAACTGAATTTCTCTTGGCTCTGCTGCTCACCAGAGGGTTGTTTCTCATGGAGCTTTTGTCCGAAGGGCAGCTCAGCAGCAGTGCTGTGTCACTGCCTGCTTGAGAGGAGCTCTGCCGCTGGCCAGGAGCCCACGGAGAGCGCTGACTGTTCCGTTATTTCACCACAGCACAAGTATGTGGGGCTCTGGATTTCTGCTGCAGCACCTCTTACACGTTCCGAGACAGGAGGATCTCTTTTTGGCTTTGTCAGCTCCTGGGGTAGGGGAAGGGTCTACTAATGGGAAGGAGGAGGAGACAGTTTTGCACAGACAGGGTGGGAGGCTGTTGCTATTTGGTGTCTCTGCTGAGATGAATTCGAGTCCAGCTCTCGCTGCCAAGTTGAAAATGAATCCATAAATCCCAACGGGCTTGGACAGCCCTTGATGTTCTCTGGTTTTTGGTTGTCAAGACTTTTATAAGAAGCTGGAAGCAGTGAGAGCTATCCTCCAGGAGACAGGCTGCTTTCCTAAGGGAGAGCTACAGAGCTGCCAAGTTCATTTGAAAAGAATAATAAAAAAAAGTAATAATAAAAAAAAAAAAAACCAGAATCCTCTTCCCTTCTCTACTCTTACCCTTTCCCAAGAAGTTCGGAAGCCACAGACACCCTGCTCTGCGAGGGGGCTGGGAAGCTAGAGACAAATAGTTCACTGAAAACTCTTGGGTGGAAGTCACCCCTGCAACAGCTCCTCAGCATAAGAAGGGGAAGAGGTTGGTCCTCTTCACCCCATGCAGTCCCAGGCAGCCCACAGTACCTCCCTCCCACCTCCCCTTAAATGCAGAAATCTTCCTCTCACAGAACACTGATGACAAGTCCACTCATTTGTGAGCTTAGATACCATAAAAATTGTTAATGACAGTCTATGAAGTAGATAATAATCACGTTCTGTATCAAACACTGTGTTTGCCAAACATTCTTGGAAGTTTTGTTAATATTTTAACTGACTTCCCACAAGGGCTGGCGCAGTTCATAAGCAGACATTTGAACTAATCACAAACAACTAAATAGAACAAGACAGGTTTCACAGCTTCTCCTTAAAAATGTTGGCTTGCTAGTGAAGAACCTAGCAAGTCCTGTACTTCACCAACTGTGACAGATCACCTCAAACCCCAGAGCCTCTGGTGAAAGCCTTCAACAGACAGACTCCTAGTTGGACACAGGTCATTCAACTCATTCACTCTGCCACAACACTGATGAAGCCCTTTGCTTCTCTACATCAGGGTACATCAGTGCAGAGTGGGGAGGAACCAGCACCGGCACAGGCTGCCTAAGAAAGTTGTGAATGCTCCAACCCTGGCGGTGCTCAAGGACAGGTTGGAAAGAGCCTTGGGCGACATAGTTTAGTGTGAGGTGTCCCTGCTCATGGCAGGGGGGTTGGAACTAGA